ATTTAAATCATTAACCTTTGCATTAGTTTTTTGTGAATAATTCATGTATTTGTAAATTGATTGCACGTTTATCGTAATTTAAATAACTGATCCAAGTGCGACTTTTGGATAATAAGTGCGACATTACTGTAATTATTGAACAATATAGTTCATGCCACTTTGACAGAAAAAATTTACCAGTAAAAAAATTTGTTCATCACCATATTTTATATGAACGCACAACCTTTAAAAAAAAAAAATCAAACTCAGCGTTGCTTTTGCGCGCTCAAAAAACAATAACTCATTTTCAATAGCATTTTCGGATACAACAATACATATATTTTCGTTGTCCTCTTATTACTAAGAGAAAAAAACAAGAACAACATCTATTCTATACCTGAAGATGTCTGTAGGAACAGACGAAAGCTTGTAGTAAAAAAAATAAGAACTAATACGGCAGAAATTTATATAAACAAGGATCATTTCATTCATAACGGATTCGGAGGTTTTTGTATATTATTTGAATTGTTTGCGATGATGGATTTCTCGCCATTTAAATCATTAACCTTTGCATTTGTTTTTGTGTGAATAATTCAAATGGGTTATTTAATTCCAAAAAAAATTTCAATTGTTGGTAATATGATTTTCTTCAAAAAAAACTATTTCTGGGAATATTTTTCCTTGAAGAAATTTATATATATATAAATATTTTTTAAAAAATATATAGCTGTTTGTATTGCTGGTATTTTTTTAAAGTATTCATTTTTAATATTTTTTTAAAGTATTGCTTTTTAATTTTTTTTTAATTATTATTACAAAGTATTATATTGTCTTAAAACTTTATTTTTACACAAGTTTATGTTTAACTATTTTCATAGTTGGGACCCTAACATTCAATGCTATACACCGAGATTGGGTGAATTTGGAAAGACCAGCAATTAAGTGACGGTTCAACGTTAATTAAAACTCGTGGCCTTGCTGTTGGACGTAGTTTCTCGTCTTACCCAGGATTAATAAATATAGTTTATCGTCATACTCAGGACGGTAACTCATAGCAGTGGGGAAATGAGTAATAAATACACACACACACACACACACACACACACACACCCACACACACACACAGGAAAATAGATAGATAGACAGATAGACAGACAGAAAAAAACGACTGATATATATATATATATATATATATATATATATATATATATATATATATATATATATATATATATATATAAGTATATGATTGGTGTATACGGAATAAATTCCAATAACCAAAAATTACTATTCTTAAAAGAGTGCTCAATACAGAGTAGAGCAGATATAATTATTTATTTAAAAATTATAACATAATTACATTCAACATCATTATATTGATAAGACACCGGAGGAAACTGAAACAAAATGGCTACTTTTGTAGTAAACTTATAACAAATTTATGTAAAATAATTTTTAAATAAATAATTATACACACACAACACACACATATATATATATATATATATATATATATATATATATATATATATATATATATAAATATAGGAAGAAATAAAAAGTTTAAGAAATAAATAGCTGATAGATATTATGTTCAGCCCCTATTATCCAGGATTTCGAATTCTTTATAGTTAGTGCTTTTTAGTCGACTCGTCAGGTGATTTCAGCGATTGACGCAACACAGATAGAGAGAAAGAGAGAGAAAAGAAGAAAAATAAACATAGGGAAAATATGGACATTAGCGGGTAAAGAAGACTAGATTAAATAACATACATGGATCGAAGATGTAGTTGTTAACAGGGACTCAGTGCCATGCGTGATAAATAACTGACGAGGTAGATTTTTTCCCGCAGTAGGTTGCCATTTCTTTTTGCGGTACACTAGTTGCCATCCAAGTATACAGAACCAGATCTGTCCTGCTATTTAACCATAGCTGGTGGGAGAAGAGGATTCATACCTTTCATGTAATGTATCCGACTAGAATTCGAACTCGGCTCTCTGATTCATCAATCCGAGCCGCTATCCATTACTCCACAGAGCCACTATTACTACTTGGCGTGAAAGCAAGATAAATTAAATGAAAGCAATATTAGGAAAAAAATCCCTAACAATCGCCATCTTTCTGACTTATTCTCACCGGGACTTTCACCATATAAATCCGAAACCAGAATCCCTTCTCTTCTAACCTTGTGGAACTTGATTCTGAAGCTTATTTATTTACTCATTTTCACTTTTCCCTCCTTGCTTTGAAGTCCTCACACCTAGATTTTATAGGAAGTTACAAAATAGAAGTTGATTGAAGATGATTTACCGTCCACATATTCTTTCAAATTCAGTGATATCTTATGTCTTAGCCGTTTTATTGCCTTGGAGCTGAAATGGTAGTCAGCAACAATCAGTTTGTAGTTCTTATTCAAAGTACATATCTTTTCATATATTCTTATTGTCCGCATTCGTCAGGAGAAAGATATCTCTGTCGCTTTAAGTTTATTCGCCCATGAAGCGATTCACCAGAATTCAATGCTACAGAGGAGATTAGATATCACGTAGACGTTCCACAATCATTTTTTGCTTCTAAGGAATTCTTCATATCTCGTATACTTTGTTTAACTTTTTTTTTTAAATAATTCTATAAAAAAATAATGCAATACAGACGTTAAGAGACAAGACGTTACTGAGTGTGAAAGAATATGAGAAAAACAAAACAATATTATAAAGAGAGAATGATAATGAAACAGGAATTGAAAAGACAGAAGATAACGATTGAAATGACATTTAAAATTTTGAATATCAAGGTTGACTTGAGAGCAAGAAACCAGAAAAGATTTCCACGAGCAAGAAGTGTGATAGACGAAACTGTTAGCATATAAATTACGGTTACATTAAACCAATTCAAGTATATGTAAAACCTATTTGCCAATTTAGTCTTATGCTTAAATTCTTCAATTCTAATTACCATCGAGGAAAATTCATGAGAACGATTATCATGAAAATATTTATAGAAGAGCACTGGGAATCTATGTTAAGCCAGTAGAGAAGTGATTTAAGCCGAAATTCCTGATCAGGATCAATGAAATTGTAGATTCTTCTTGTATTTTATCAAGAATCTCTAAATCTATACCATGAAAGCCAGATTATATATGGCAGAAATATTCAACACAAGGACGAATGGTAAACGGATAGACATGCAAAATAGATTCGGGCGAGAAGAATTGTATGTCGAATTGGTTTGTCTCTCTTGCTGACAACAGACATTCTGTTTTCTCAATGTTAAAGTTTGGTATTTTATTCTTGTTTTGTTCTTTTAATTTCCCTTCCAAGTTTTCTATCAATAAAATGGCATCAGCCTATCTCATTTTGTTAAGATTTTATCCTCCGAATATAATAGCTTTTAGGTCGAGAGGTTTTTCGAGGATTGCCTCGTTGTGTAGATTAAATAGATTCGGTGAGAAAACGTAATTTGCTTTTAAGTTTTTTGAGCCATTTTCAAGGCACTGATGCAAAATGAAAATCGACCAAAAAGAACGTTCCTGTGCATGAGTGATCAAACACTCGAATGTGTTTAGTTTGCCGATACTGTGATTACACTGAGCGGATTTGTGTATAAATTGAACAGTTCAAGTGTCTGCCATGTTTTTGTTATCGGAGGATGAAAAACGTTATACCGAGAAACAAACATACATTTGAATAGAGGAAGATGCCTTCCAAAAGCTAAATAAGGTGTTGATAAACGGACAAATCTCACTAGAAATAAATTCATTTTTTGATGGATTTATTATGGGATAAATTTTTCTTCTATATCTGGGAATGTTGGACAATATCCCCGCGGATGGGGGATAAAACCAGAAGCAGCATCGAATGTAGGTCTGTAGAAGGATCAAGAAAATGTCATGAACCCAGCGAGAATAAAATATTTAACGGAAAGAATATTTACTCAAGATCAAGACAAGAGATGCAATTCCTTGGACATATAATGAATATGGTAGGCTTGGAAAATATTGATGCCAAGTGAGATAGAAGGCAGCAATCAACTAAATTGACGACGTGTTAATGAAAGGCGGTGTGGGAACCTCAACAAAGAGAAAAAAACTGTTAAGGGTCAGTCGCTGTTGGGCCATGCATTTAGAGAAGCTCCTTAGATATGACTCTATATGCCTCTGTCTATCGTGTCCACCATTTATGCTGTGAGTGTCATATTCTCCAAGAAATTCTTTGTCATTATTTGTCAAAGGATCTACAGCAGTCTATTTCTGATTCTAAGTACAAGAAGAAATGGATAAAATAAAAATAACGCTGACATCTCATTTTAACAGATATATTTACCAACATTACACAAAAATATATTCAAATACTAAAGAGTAATTTTTCTTCAATAAAATCACCATTGGCGTCAATCACGGCCCTCAGATGACTTCAGAATCTCCTGCAACTCTTTTTGACGGTCTCCTTGTTTAAGTTGGGGAAATTATGAATTAAATTAATTTTTTCTATGCCTCAGTTCATTTTTGTTGTTATAAAAAGTTTTGTTGGTTTCTCGCTCAACAATGCCCCACTCATTATAATCAAGGAGGGTTGCAGTCTGAGGGGTTAGGTGAGCAGATGTAATGGGTGATCTGGTTGCATAAATTGTCTGACGGCCATGACTGGGTTCTCCTGCTTGTGTGGCATGGTACAGGTGTCCTGTTGCCAGACATAAGGTCATCAAGCAGCAACCCTCTTGATCCAAGGCAGCACTATTTCCTCAAAACACTTGATGTAGTCCTCTGTATTGAGTCTGAGGCCCTGTGGGAAAATGAATGGTGGCATAACGTCGCCATCACTTGTGGTCACGCCAAACACCATCGTAATAACCATTAGATTCCTCCAAATCTTTTCGAATCCTGACCCTATTATACTGTGCAGTCGACCAAATGAAAAACAAAGAACGCGCATGCTCGAAATTAAAAATAACATGGCGCCAATTTACCCATCACACCAGTGTCATCTTTGTTTCCATTTTCCTTACGACTTAAAAGAGGCATATGTCCATATCATGTTCAAACACCGGTTCTCCTACGATCACTGAAGTTAAGCAACGTCCAAGTTAGTACCTTGATGGGTGACAAATTGGGAATAACAGGTGCTGTAAATTTGTATGTGCTGTTTAGATGTCTTACGGTTATATCACCTTGAAAAACCGATGTTCATATGATCACTGAAGTTAAGCAACGTCGATAGAGGTTAGTACCTTGATGGGTGACTAATTGGGAATACCAGGTGCTGTAAATTTGAATGTGCTTTTTAAATGTCTTACGGTCATATTACGTTGAAAGACCGGTGTTCATATGATCACTGAAGTTAAGCAACGTCGATCCAGGTTAGTACCTTGATGGGTGACTGATTGGGAATACCATGTGCTGTAAATTTGCATGTGCTGTTTAGATGTCTTACTGTCATATCACGTTGCAAGACCGGTGTTCATATGATCACTGAAGTTAAGCAGCGTTGATACAGGTCAGTACCTTTATCAGCGACTGATTGGGAATGCAAAGCGCTGTAAGTTTATATGTGCGGGGTGGTGTAATGGATAAATGCTCAGAATTTGAAACCGGAGAGCCGAGTTCCAATTGTTGTCGGATTTGTGAACATCACGAATCTAATTACAATTGGACCTCGAAATGCGAAATTACTTTAGAAAAGGTATAAATCTAATTCTTCTCACCCATCTAGGGGTTAATTAGTAAGAATTATATCAATACATCATTATTATCTATAAAAAAAATTAAAAAACTTCAGGTTTTAAATAACGTACAAAAGGTTGGTAAACCGTAAAAATAGAAATTAATCAATTAAGACAAAGTAGAACTACGTTTCTGTTGCTTGAAATGTTTGCTTCACATTTAAGGAGATTCACCAGTATTCACCATATAGGAAGAACAATATTGCATAAGAGATAAGCACTTGGGGTGGGGAAGTTCTAATGATATCTTGTTGTTTCTTAGTATTTTGCTTAGGTTTTAGAAGGCATCTTTTGCGTGCCCGATGAACGTTTGGATTTCAGTGCCACATTCTTTGTTAAAACCTGCAGCTTTTACCGAGGCTAGCATTAGCATTCAAATGCTCCGTTAACGAGATTAAAGATAAAATCAACTTATGCTAACGTGGAAAATGAATTTTAAGACTATTTTGAAAGTTGGAACTGACAGGGAAATAAGTGCCAACGATCTGAATAGGAAGATAATAAAAAGGAACAAATGTGCCATTTATCAGTGTATGCATCTTCTTCTTTCATGCTCTGTTACTTCAGAACGTTGGTGATCATGGCTCTCCACAATTCCATACCATTTGTAGCTCTTAGTATCATCTAAGATAATAATGCGTGCTAACTGCGAAAGGCTGGATACTTTTAGGACAAAACCATTTTTTTCTTACATTTCTTTTTCTTGAAGAATAAATAATGGACAGATTATGAAACTTGGTCCGAATTTGTCCTTTTCTGGAAGACGTAGGAATATGGCTCAAAGTATTCCTGTCTGGGAAACAAGAATAATTCAGTTTCTTTGCAAAAAAATGATATCGAAACAATATTATTAATTAAAAGCGTGTGTAATTGGCAAGCTGTCTTGTAAGATCTTTTTTTTTTTTGTGGGATGAGGAAATTGGCTTCACTAATTTACCGACAGAAACGGAAACGAATATTCCCCCACACACACACATACACACACATACATATATATATATATATATATATATATATATATATATATATATATATATATATATATATATATATATATATATATATATATATATATATTTATATTTATATTATATGGGCCAGGTGTTAGAACGTTCGCATTCTGAGACCCGTGTTCGAATCTCATGAAGGTTCGGTGTGTCAGGAATTTAAATGTGATGTTATCGGACTGGATCAAGGTCGATCCTAGCGTGCGGCATATGTGGAAAGATCTTGTAACCCCCACCACGAGTTGACCCAAGCCGTGTGAAGGAAATTGGGTAGACAGAACACTTGGGGGCTGAGCTAGCACGAAGTCACAAGTCATCATGGCCGAGGGCTTGTGCGAGCTGATCTTGTTCAAATTCTTGATCACGCTAGATAACACGCTCTTTCCCAGAAACTGTAACTAAGATCTGCTCAGCATAGTTGCAGTATAAACCACAGGTGGGCTCTGTGGGTGTTGAATAAACACTAATGCCCCTGAGCAAGCCTCGGGCAATAGGGATTGGCTAGCTTCCCTAGTAGACGGGTATCCTCGAATTGATATATATATATATATATATATATATATATATATATATATATATATATATATAAACAAAAATCATTCATACAAAAACAGATATAGATAGTTAAGTTAAATGAATGATTCATGTAATGTAAATTTTTGATAATGACGATATACTATATATATATATATATATATATATATGTGTATAACTTATGTATGTGTGTATATATATGTGTGTGTATATTTATATATATTTTTTCATTGATGCATGTTTCATTAAATAATATAGACAAGTTTTGTCTACTTATTTTAAGCAAATTCCTTTCATATTGTCTGATAAGCTGAATAACATTATCATTGAAAGACGACAGAAAATCATATTGATACATGTTTTTTAATCCTATCTAAGCTTTCGGCTTACATAAGCCATTATCAAAGATGACAATTACATTAAAATATATTAAACAATACAGGGGCAAAACAATAATGATAGTCTGTTTTTTGTTGCATGAAAAACAAACAACGACAAACTCGTGTATATGAGACGCTGGATATGAAAACGTCGCAGCTCGTGACGTCGCACATGACCACGCGAGAGTGAAAAATGAGAAGTATTAAGTATGGGAAGCCGTAGGTATAAACTAATGCTTTCTGTTATCAATTATAGGCATTTAATAATATTTGTGGAAATGCCGTACTTTAATTTGTTCAGGTTAGGTTTCAACAGTTTTATGTATATATCTTCAAGAATTTTCAGTTTGTGTTTATTGCTTTCATGTTTAAGTATAGTTGTGTTTTCAACGAGGATTTTCCGGAATTGTGTAAATGGCCAGGCATGTTGTTTTAAATGCCTAAATGTTAGAGTTATCATTCAAATTATAAGTCAAGCGTCGTGAAAAGTTTTGTGGTTTGAGCAATATAAATATTATTTAATCCGTTGGAATACAGGTTTTAAAAAACTATATTTTTTTTTGCAAATGCATTTATAAAATTAATTTGGAGAATCATTATAAATAATTGAGTTGGATATACTAGATTTATAATAAGTATATGATTAATTTATTTTTGCTAGGATCTGTTAAAGATATATTATTATTTGATAAATTTTTTAGTATATTTATATCTTATTTTATAATTCGTATGCATTTGATTACGACATAAGAGATTATTTTATGTTTGAGATTTTTTGAATTTTATTATGTTCTATTTCCTAGTATTGATAAATTCGAATAAAGCATCTTATTTGTTCATCAACTATATTGTTTCTAAACCTATTATTAATAAGAAAATTTTATATTAGAACAAATCCTAAAAAAAAAAATTGTTATGATCCTCAATTGAAATATTAGATAGGATAAAAAAAAACATTTTTTTTTTGTTTTTATTGATGATAATGTTATTAAGGTTATAAATGAAAGGAATTATTAAGAAATATAAATTTTATTAAAATAGACAAAACTTGTCAAATATCATTTAATGAAACATTCAAATATATATATATATTTAAACATATATATATTAAGTTTTATTAAAGAATTATTTATAATTTATATGTATAGTGAATATAAAAATTATTATCCATTACAATATATTATTTGCTAATATTGAATTGGGAAATTTAATGTAAAGATCTTCAATATTTCCAGCTATAAAAAATAGACAGGACAGACTGGGTTCTATACATTTGGATGGCATATGGTCTAAGAGAAGGACAAATTTAAATAAAAACCTTGGAGGGTCGTTTGGGATTTCTCCAGACATGCATAATGTATATATATATTTTTGTATTCGTCCCTCCAAAAAGGAAACTTGTGAAAAAAGGCATTAACCACTATAATAAATAGTAAAAGATGGGTGTTTTTTCCTGGGGATAAATCGGCTGACTCATACGTCGAACGCGAAGAAATGTTTCCATTATATATATATATATATATATATATAAATTTTTATTAATATGTAGAAAAAACGATATTTATGGACAATAAGTTTTGAGGTATTTCATTTGATAAAAGAATATGAAAGATGACTTTCTCGAAGCTAAAAAACGAAATGAATTTAAATATTTCAAAATAATAATAACAAAACAGAATGTTCAGCAAATGAAAGAAAAAGAATATTTATTTTCATATAAATAATATGAAAATAACGTCAGATAGATTCTCAGAAGGAAAAAATTTTAGAAGATGCCGCCATAGAATATTACCCAAACAAATTAATATATTTTGTGGCTTTTATTTATTTCACCTTTTTTAAGAAAAAAGAGAAAAATATTTTACCAAGATGCCAATCTCATCAAATTTGATAATATAAAATCAAAATAAATCAAAATAAAATATTGAATATATCATACACAGCTAGAATACAATTTGTTGTTGAATATAGATTTTTCCTAAAATGGATTCTTTAAGAAACGTAATTTTTAAAAATGCATTATCAATGAATATATATTTATTTACAGAAGATATTTTCGGAGAACGAATATATTCTTCCAAAATTTATTGGATAAAAGGCCATTTAAATGTTGTTAAATTACTTTTTTATTATAAAAGAATGAATTTATTTGAATTAAATATTTGCATAAAAGAAAATAAATAAAAAAATTTATTTTATATTTATAATAATATATATATATATATATATATATATATATATATATATATATAAAAGTCTCAATTTTGATGTGAAAATAAAATAAAAAAAGACAATATAATTGGTTAAATTAATTTAATTTAAAGAATATAAATAAATATAATATATATATATTTATATTCAAAAAATTCAAAAAAAATACGATTCATCAATTAAAAAAAAAAAGAATCCATTAAAAGTTAAAACAACTCCAGTCGAATTCAATTACATTCTTTTACGTTAAACATTTGAAAAAAAAAAAAAAATTTTTCTTTTTATCCAGTTTTTGGTAAAAAGCAGGAAAGATAAACTAAAAATTTAGATTAAAAATTGATAAAAGGAGAAACTTGAAAAAAACCTACGGAGGGTTTTTTGAAACCTTTTGGCATATTTTCATACAATAAATT